GAAGATGTCTGGAAGATTTCAAACTAGAACGAAAAAGCCAAAAAATGCGTCTAGATGATAATACCGCGAAAGAAAATGGAAATTGAATCAATTGTCTGAAGTGCTGAATTTTAAGTATTTTAATACTGTATAGAATTTAAAATATCTTTATTTTCGACAAAACATTTTTCTTAGTAATATTTATTCAATATTTTTTAGTTCAATTCAATTAAGGCGTATCGCTTTTTGTGCTTAGAGACTTTTTTTCTTTACCGAAAATTTTCATTATCACACTTCAAAGACAGAGAATGTTAATGGTATTAAAGACTAAAAGTCAGATATAGTTAGAATGTTCTCTTATGTAAATACTGTTTCAGTTTAAAAAGAAAAGAAGAAAATATAATTTTTTTTTAATCAAGAATCGTTTTTGCTAACTTATACATTTCATCGCTATTTGTTTAATATTTCATTGTAATACGACTGTGCATAGTTTTCAGTGGTTGTTCATAATAGCATTTATTGCTTATTAGATAACACTTTCTTTTGTTAACGTTCCCTTCATAAAAATAACGGCGATTTTCTAGATAACAGTAAGGCCGAAAGTATGGAGCAACAAGTAAGGATGGAACACATTACTGAGTCGTAATTGTTCTAGCGACACAAGTTTGTTAACCGTTACACAACGTCGACGTACACCACGTCATAAAGGTTATGTGTTGCTGAAAAATCCGAAAAATTTATTTTTTTATTTTCTCTTCCTGTGTTGTAATGGTTAACGCGAAAGTTTAACGGACCATAGTTTGATATTCAAGGGAACTCACTCGGAGTAATAGATAGTGGCTCGAATTAAGGAATAGGAGGGCCCAGTTCGAATTCCATTCGAATTCATTACATTCATTTACATACTTGGGAAAGATATGAATCCATCTATTCTACCCACACATGGGTAAATAGTAGAGCAGACTGGGTTCTATAGCCCTGAGTAGAGGAAATCTCTGAATTCAAACCAGCTTGGAGAGGGTTGGGCTTCGTGGTTCTATCTTGCTCAAGAATTCTATACTTCTGCTACAGATGCCCATACGACTCTAATGGACAAGAATCTGGATATACAGGGTGTCCATAAATTTCGTGTGCACTTTAAAAAAATTATAACTTTATTTTTATTTGCGATAGAAATAATTTGTAAAAAGGATTAGAAAGAAGTAAATCTATATTTTTTAAGGTTTCATTGAAATTTTATTTAAATTTCCACATATCCTCCATCATTAGCAATACAAAGGGTAATACGATTTTGCAGTTCACGGAAAACATTTGCCAACTGATTTACAGTAATGCCTGAAATCACATTAGTTATTTTAGTTTTCAAATCTTCTAATGAACTAGATTTGGTTGCATACACAATTGTTTTCAAATGTCCCCATAAAAAATCAAATGGAGTCAAATCTGTCGAACGTGGAGGTCAACAATATGGCCCACCCCTTCCGATCCATCTGTTAAGAAATTCCTGTTTTTGTGGTAAAGAATTATTCAATAACTATACTTAAAACTAGGTACGTTAAACTTTATAACATTTTTTTACAGATTATTTCTATCGCATATACAAATAAAAATGAACTTTATGGACACTCTGTATATAGGAGGAACACCAGACCAGACATTGCAGTATTATTCAATGCATCGAGGATGAATGGTAGATTTATAAACGTGAAATAGGTATTGGGATGAGAAGAATAGTCTGTAATGGTTAGCAAGCTTGTCCGTTAGAAGAATTACGACTGAGTAGTGAGTTCAATCCTCACTGGGTGCCCCATATTTTCGGCCTTGCGCTACATCTGAGCTACGCTTGGAAAATCACTAGTCTGATACGACACAGTAAAACACATTTCCTAGCAGTAGACGAAGCAATTGATTCGATATAATCACTCCACTTCATGTCTGGGGAAAACGTGAGTCCGAGAAGGTGCAAATTGTTTCTCTCCTGGAGTTTAGTATCAACCATATGGATGGCAGACAGAAAGGCTTCTCTATGATGATTAAATGAAGGTAGCTATGATTTATAAGCCTTTTCCTTCCGCTAGTTAATCACTGTTTTGAGGTTCTTTTCGAGAGCAGTTGTTAGTTTTATATTGTTGACCCTGTCCTGCTTGCTACTAAAAGAGGAGTAAATATTTGTATCATCAGCATGGATAACCAGTTGAGAACAGGTGACATCGGGAAGCTCGTTGATAAAGCTTAGAAACAGCTTAAGTCCGAGGTTCGAGCCATGAAGAACAGCTGCATTAATATGGAAGTGTATCCATTCAAAAGAAACATCATATATATATATATCAGTTGTAGGTATATCGGACCCTTTCCATGTTTTTTTCACACATGCGTAAACTGGAATCGAACATCGTAGGGTAAACCTGTGTAGTCGGTGGAACAAGGGCTGTGATTATGCGCTCAAACGTGTATGCAAAAAATGGTATTTAAAGTGTTAATGTTTAAGGTGGACAAGACATCTCTGAAAGCTTGACATAATATAAAACCAATAAAGTAGTGAGGCGGTTCAAAATATTTTAAAATCTTACATAAATAAAGATTATCAATTACTATATATATATATATATATATATATATATATATATATATATATATATATATAAACAGACCACTTCTTCTTTTGCTGCTGCTGCTGCTTCTGCTGCTGCTTCTGCTGCTGCTATTAATGCTGTTTCTGATGAGGATGATGATGATAACTATGCTATTTTGTGAAGACAAATGTAACACAATGGATACAAAAGTAAAAAAAAAGGACAGACGAAAAGAAAATTTCTCATATGTTCAGGTGGGGAAGCGCTATTCGCTGGAGGAGCAGAAACGCTGAAATCCCAAGGTGTGTCTGTCAGAGAAGCGACCTACTAAACCATTGACCACACCTTCAGTACAAACGGATGATAAGTGCATAAAATAAGTAAATCTTTCCCGACTTGTGGAAAACTTTAATTAGATAATTAACAGAGGATTAACATTTTTGTGCACAGATTTACACTCTTCACGTCAGTGACGCCAATCCCCAGTGGAAAATGTTTCGGAAAAGAATAAGTGTTATGGAAAAATAAAGAAAGAAAGATAGGAAGATAAAGCAAATAGGAAAACGGGAGAGAAAGACATAGAGAAAAATAAACTAGGAATAAATAAAGTGAATTAAAAACTAGGAATAATAATTGGGAAAGAGATAGTAAGAGAAATAATATAAGAAGAACGTCATATAGCTTGAAAAGAAATGTAAAATTACGACGATATATATTAAAGACATTTTTATGTTTAACGTTCTTTTTTTATAGACACAAGTATTTAAGTAAATGCTCTGTTTATAATAAACAGTATTAAATAACTTTTACCGGCCTGAATGTCCGAGAAATTTTCATAGAAAATATTCGTCCTTTGACAGGATTCGAACCTGCATCCTATACGGAACCGTCATTTATGCTGACGTGCCTAACCTCTCGGCCACAAAGGATCGTTCGGCTGGCAATGTGGAATTTACTGCTTAAAAACTTCAATCTTCCATGAATGTCGTACATTCATAACTGCTCATGGCGTATCAAATGTAAACAAATGACGTCATATATATTAAGAAATGGACAAAGTCCGACAATTTATTTATTAAAGAAGTTTATCAAAGGACGAATATTTTCTATGAAAATTTCTCGGTCTTTACAATATATTAAACAATACACGGACATGTCAATAATAATAGTCTGTGTTTTGTTTGCATGGAAGAATTCCATGCAACGACAAACACTTACATACGAGACGCTGGAAGCGAAAATCGCACCTCAGCTCATGACATCACACATGATCACACGAGAGTTTGTCGTTGCTTGGAAATCTTCCATGCAAATAAAAAACAATGTATCATTATTGCCATGTCCGTGTATTGTTTAATATATTGTAATGTTATAGTCATCTTTGATGATGGCTTATGTAAGCCGAAAGCTTAGATAGGATTAAAAAAACACTTATCAATATAGTGATTTTCTTTCGTTTTTCAATGTTAATGTTAAGCTTATCAGACGATATGAAAGTGATTTGCATAAAATAATTAGACAAAACTTGTCTATATTATTTAATGAAAAAAAATATATATATATATATATATATATATATATATATATATATATATATATATATATATATATATATAGTTAATTAACGAAAATCTTGGTAATCCGTATGGATAATCCAAAGGAGGAAGAAATCCTGAGAGCTCAATGTTAAGTCAGAGCGAATAATTTAATTTAAATGAAAATGGTGTGTGTAAGAAAAAACAGTAAATTTTTTTAACTATTACGTTCAAATCTTACTCAATCTTGATTTGAAATCTAAACTTTAATTAAGAAATATTACACATCAAAAAATAGCTACAAATTAAATTCATATATTAGACTCAAACTGATAAAGATTTTACCTTAACAGTCATTCACAGTACTAATATATTACTATTAATTTTTTTATTAACATGTTATTCGGCTTATATTAAATCATTAATTTATTTGTGGAGGAGTTGAATATTTAAATAGCTAACAAGCATTAAATTTAATTTCTTTGAAGAGGTTTTTTAAACATTTAAATTACTATCAAACGTTAAAATATGTATTTATCTAAATTGCTAAAGTTATAGCACCCCTCTTCTTCCTCTAAAAACCCTACACTCCCTCCCTTCCCTCTCTAAACTCGACTATGTCTCTCACACCAATTCTCATCACCCTCTAATTTAACTTATATAAGCTTAATGCCGCCCGTCAAAAGTGTAAATTTTAAATTCATTTTTCGTTTCAACTTTGAAAGTGAAGTCTGAAGATACAGAGAAAAATAAAATTCTCTGGTGAAATAAATTATTACAATGGAGCCTTAAAGTGGTCTGTTTTTCATTTAAATTTATATATATATATATATATATATATATATATATATATATAATAGTGACAGTGTATTAAACAGAGCATGGAATGTTAGAAAGAAAGAGGAATGTAGTTCTAGAGAAAAAAGACAATGATGAAAAAGAAAAAAAAGGGTTGATAAAAAAATAAACTTTGATCAAATAGAGAGAATAGATAGATAGATAGATCGATAGATAAGAAATAGAGAAAAAAGAGGGAAAAGAAATAAGAGAGTGATACATTAATGAAAGTCAACTAAAAAAAGCGAAAGAAATTTAGAATAATAGGTAATTAAAAAAAAACAACTAATAAAATACGAAATATTAAACCAATATTTAGAGGAAGGAAAGACAGAAAAAGAAAAGAAAGAAAATGATGGAAAGATTTAGCAAATCAAACCAAAAATCGACTGAAAATTTTTAAAAAAAGCAAATTAAACGTTTGAAGAAAAAAAAAGATGTCTACTGATCAAGATATAAAATGATAAACGATAAATCATATCTATATGGAAAATAAGGAGAAAACTTTCAAACGCAATGCGAGCCAATAGCAAATGAAAGTCTCATCCGGGTATTTCCATCATGACCTATTTCTCGACAGAGTTACATCGGGCATATTGATTTTTCCATTTTAGCTTTTTGCGAAGTTTTAATCACTTGATTATATAATTAATCAGTAATTTAATTAAAATGAAAACACCCAGGCTGTAAGAAACTAACATATTAGCGTTGATCGTGAGCTTGGGGTGTAAATCTATGGTTCAAACATTTCCTATTCACTTTTCTTTTATGCGTATGTCCGTGTGTGGAAGAAATAGCGATTAAATTCTCATTTGTTTTTGTTTAGTTTACATTATTTAAACTGTTATCTTCATCTTCATTGACATCTTCGCAACAATTCGATCGTTGTACTCTCCAGCCTTCTTCAGGTAATTGGAATTTCGAACCAAACCCTTTATTTCGTCCACCGGGGTAGATTATTCTAGTTCTGCGTGTCATGCCTCTTCCGGATGTCTCAGTTGTTCCCCTTTAACTCAGCTCTCCAAGTTTAGTTTCTCTACTGGTATCGCCTGGTTTTGAACTCACAACTCTTTGGGAATGGTCACTGGATTTAACCGACGTCAACTGGGCTATGTACCCTTGAGTGTCTCATTCGTACACACCGAAGAAAACAATGAAAAGATTCAAATATTGTTTGTGGTTGGTGGAACAACTGCTTTTAATAGAGTTATGAAACAACAGTAAGCTGTTTGAAATAGTGACTGAATTCTGGAACCAGAAAAAAGGAAATGAAACATGAAGGGACAGATTTTCTCTTATTCAATTTTCCTTTATCAACTAGTGACTGACTCACACAAGCCGTTATGCGTAAAATCATTGAAAGCAATAATGACACTTGGTTTGAGGATGACACTGAAGCGTCACAATAGCAACAACCATACACTGTTAGGTTCTTTATTTGTTTATTGTTAAAAATGTTTTATATGCATTGGAGACACGTTCTCAGTATAGGAAGTAAGACGTTTATAGTTATTGACAGTGGCGACCTAGGAATAAAGACTCCATTGTGACTGTCAGTTTCAAGATTAAGCAAAGCTTGGACCATGCCCTGAAAATCTCTGGACGTGTGAATCCTACATCTCTCTCTTTCTCTCTCTGTCTCATTCTCTCTCATATATATATATATATATATATATATATATATATATATATATATATATATAGTGTCACAAATTATGAAATGGACAAAGTCCGACAATTATTTTAAGACATTTTTTTGTTTATACATTCTTTTTAGAGATACAAATATTTAACTAAATGCTCTGTTTATAATAAACAGTATTAAACAACATTTACCGTCCTGAATGTCCGAGAAATTGTCATAGAAAATATTCGAACCTGTATCCTATACCGAACCGTCATATAGCCTGACGGCCCTTTAACTGATTTGACCACTGAGGAGCGTTCGGTTAGCAAGGTCGATTTTACTGTCTTTAAACTACAATCTTCCATGATTCCCTCACGTATATTCATATCTGCTCATAGCGTATCCAAATGTAAAAAAAATGACGTCACACATTATGAAATGGACAAAATCCGACAATTATTATGAGACATTTTTATGTTTATACATTCTTTATATATATATATATATATATATATATATATATATATATATATATATGTGTGTGTGTGTGTGTGTGTGCGCGCGCATTAGGGAAAGAAGTATTACAATGCGAATCATAATGTTGGTATATAATGTTGCCGATTTCTTTTGGATAAGACTTCGTTCATAAAATTTCGAATCTAGTGATCAACAATGAAAGAACTTTTTCACAAAGACAGTTAAATGCACTAAAAATCGACAGAATAATAAGGAAATCTACAATACTTCCTCGGACAAGGAAAGTTGGGATAATTATTATGAAGAACACACACAATGATAAAATTAGAAAGCGATTAGGAAACTTATTAAAAAGAATATTCAAACTATTTTCTGATCTCCATGGAGGTAAAATATCTTACAGATCTGTTGAGACAACAGTTATTTTATACGTTATAAAATAATATCTTTCATTATTTACATTATTCGGACTATCCTTATCTTCATTGCCATATTCACAACGTTTCAGCCGTTGTACGATCCGGCCTTCTTCAGGTGACTGTAATTTCAAACCGAATTTCACATGGACCAGTGGATAAAAACGTTGGTTAGATACAGTGACTAGACCCAAATAGTTATGAGTTCAATACCAGGCCACAGCAGTAGTAACCCCTCCCCCGCCAAAAAAAAAAAGAAAAAGAAAGAAAAACCTGGGGAGTTAGGTTAAAGCTCAAGCACTATTGTCTCGATTGTTGATTAGTTGTCCTACGGCCATTGTCTGTGATGGACGTTACTCTACGGAAGCCTACGAAAACTTTAACACTGCACAAACACAAACGCTAGCCTTACCAGTGAGCAAATCAAAGTACTATAGACTAGCACGAAAATCCTCCCGATTTAAATCCATTCGAGAATCTGTGGTCAGTCTGTAGCAACAACTTCGAGGAATGGACATATGCAGCGCTAACATGTGCAATAGGATATGATTCGAAACAAAGGAAATAATAACAGAATTATACGTTTTGCTTCGATTAATTTGCACAAGGGTGTAACAAAGCATTCAGTAAAGATCGAATTGGATGATTAGCAATTTCACCTTTCTTCTACAATATGTTCTCGCTTATTTGACTGGATGTATATTTTTCAAAAAGCGATTTTTCTTGCGTTATGAGATTCTGTTAGCTTTAGGCATTTTCACCCATTGGCTGTTTCTCTATTAAATATTTAAACGCAGTGGACAAAGTATTACTCTGGAATAAATGGATCTTCGGTTATATTTAAAAATTGATTGAAGTCAAGCTTATAAAAAAATTGAAAACATGAAACTCATACAATGCTGCCTAACTGTACATACAGAAGCTTTTACAAGCAAAGATTTTATTTTTTTTATTTTTTAATGTTTACAATGACTCTTCACTGTACATGCAATTTTTAAAATTTTGAATGTTTACAAACTAGCTATATATATATATATATATATATATATATATATATGTGTGTGTCTATATATATATATATATATATATATATATATATATATATATATATATATATATATATATATATATCAAATAACCGTACCTACACATTGTAAACATTAAAAAATTAAAAAAAATCTTTTGCTTGTAAAAGCTTCTTCTGTATGTACAGTTAGGCAGCATTGTAAACATTAAAAAGAAGCAAAAAACAAAAACAAAAAATCAAAACAAAAACAGCAACACGAAGCTTTTCGTAGACTGAAATACAGAAAACTGAAAATAAGACGTCGTTTTGGTGAACAATATCAGCCAATTGCGTTCTGAGGAGTTGGAAGAACATATTTAGATATGAAAGTCAACCCTTGAAATATGCGCTGAATTTGATTTAAAGGAAAAAAACACCGCCACATCTTAAGTGTTGGGATTCAAACCCCCTTGAGATCGATTTATCTTGGGGATATAGTGAGGCTTAGAACGCGTCCAGAATTTCGTATTAAATTTTAAATCTCTCTTAAATAAAGTGCCATACCGCCAAGTGTAAAACTAAAAGCATTCCAGAGAGAAAGAGACATAGAAAGAGCGGAAGAGAGATAGAAAGAGTGTGTGTGTGTGCGTATGTGTGTGTGTGTCTGAGAGAGAGAGAGAGAGAGAGAGAGAGAGAGAAAGAGAGAGAGAGAGAGGAGAGAGAGAGATTACCTTTTCGGCGATGCGCAATTGGCTCCTGGCACTGCTCCACGTAGTGAAAATTTATGTGTAGAATAAAACTATTTATAAAATTTGTAAGTATTATTCGTTGATAAGGTACAGTTAACCGACGCGCGTGCATGGACACAAGCACACACTCTCTCTCTCCCCATCTCTCTCTCTCTCTCTCTCACACACACACACAAACATACACACACAAACATACACAGAAACCAACCTTTACCGCAAATGCTTATGGCAATGGTAACCATAGTCGTTTTGATCCAGGAAACATTTAGTATTCATTGATCGAACAATTAGTGTTACTGTCGATTGAGAGTCATAAAATCCTTTTATTGAAATGGCTTCTCAGAAAATTACACTGAGTGAGAGAGAACATTCGAATATCGAAGCGAAGTTCCTTCCAAGCAGTTTTTTTTTTAGGAAAGATAAATAATTTATCTATATTATTATTTTCTCTTTTACTTTATGTACATTTTGGTAGTAGTGTATATGGTTCTTAAGTAAAATATTTTCTTACAAATCCTAATGCAATAAATATTAATTTTATAACTGTGTGATAATTTTCTTTGAGTGGAAAAATGTATAGCCAAAAATGTATAGCGACTTTATCAATGCCATTTAAATTAGAAACATTTATTATTTTCTCTTAAGGATTTACTGTTATTTTATGGTAAATTCCCGTTGAAATCACCCGTTACTATTTAACTCCAGAAGTTAATTAATGATTATGATTAATGATTAATGATAAGTAATTAGTTGTTTCGCCACTAAGGAAAACCAGATGTTGTACGACACCGTATACTATTCAAAATTAGGAAGTAACGGTTCATTTTAAAACACCCTAAAACACACACACACACACACATATATATATATATACAGTGTAACCCGGATATAAGAGACCCGGGTATAAGAGAAATCCGGATATAAGAGAGATTTTCTCTGGTCCTAAATTAGAGCCTGTGTTAATGTATATAAATTAGACCCGGATATAAGAGACTCGGATATAAGAGAAACCCGGATATAAGAGACTTCTTCTCCGGTCCCGACAACTCTCTTATATCCGGGTTACACTGTGTATATATATATATATATATAAATGAATATTTGTGTGTGCGTATATATATATATATATATATATATATAATATTTGTAATACTTGGCTTAAACACTAATATTCTATGGTTATAATTTATTAAATTGGAATCGTAATTATGATCCAATTCATCAAACCTACAAATTCAAAAAGAAATCCGGAAAAATAACTCCGGAAATAAAGAATAAAATTTAGTGAGTGTGTATGTATGACAGTAGGGAAGGAATGCCAGAGGTAAATGAAAGCTCTAGAGATAAGAACAGGAAGGCTTAATGGTGAAGGTGGGGATTCAAATTTAACAGAGAGAAGTTTTAAAGAGAGGATTAAAAGACAGTTTAAAAGAGTGAAAAACAGATAAATATGAATTATTTTTTATGTATAATTCATTACTGAATCGCTGACCTAAATTAAATTAAAAACCGACACCGGAAATGGTTGTATACATTTGTGGTGACACTACGCACAATAAAAGACGATATAATCTAAACTTAAAAATCAGAGATGAGAAAGAGAGAGAGAAAAAAAAAGATGGGAGATGATATAGTGAGTCTTAGAACGCGTCCAGAATTTCGCATTAAATTTCAAATCATTCGTAAATAAAGTACCATACTTTAATTTTTAATATTTTTAAAAATAATAATGATAAGTTAATAAGAATACCAACAATACCCAGAATATATAATAAAACAAAAAAACCTTTTCAAAAAATTAAAAAGATAAAGAAAAAGTAAACAAAGGAACGGGAGTTCATAATGCAGTGGAAGTTTATAAATATATATATATGAAGTAATATACTCTTAAGGTGTGCTATATTTATGGGATAAAGTGCTCAATAACAGAGATAAAGCGTGTGTAAATATAAAATTGCAGTATAATAAATAAATAATATAAACAAGTAAAATAAATTAATCTAAATTAATCCAAATAAATAACTAAATAAACTAACAAACCTATCACGATAAATTAACCGTTAGAAGAAACAAGTAAAGATAACAAATACAAATAAATAAATCGAGTAATAAAAAAATTAAAAACTGCTCCTGCCAAAATAATAGTTAAAATAAACTACAGCAATCAACTTCAAAATTGAATAAATAGCTTTAATTATCTTGCAAACCAAAGCAAAACTCTTAAATAAGCGATATAAACAAATTTTACTACGTTAATAAAACACCGATGAAAATAAGAATAAATAAATAAATATATAAGATAAGAAAAAACTAAAAAACAAGCAAAATAATCTAACCCAATTAAATAAATAAATAAACAAATAAACGCCTTCCGGTAAAATAACCGCCAAAATAGACTAACCACAATGCACCACTGACCCGTATATATAAATAGCCTAGAAAAAAACAACACTCGTGGCCTGACAATTGCGTCTAGCATGAAACAGCCCGTCGCCTCTAAGTGTTGTTGTTGTTTTTTGTTGTTGTTGTTTTTGTTGTTGTTTTTGTTGTATGTATGTGTGTGTGTGTGTGTGTGTGTGTGTGTGTGTGTGTGTGAGTTTTTCATGTATTATAGAATATGTCAAAGAATAATTAATATTTGGATTAAGACGTTGCATGCACTGCCCACAGTTCATAAACTCGCTTCTGATGATATTGATGATTATCTAATGATTTTTCAAAAAAAAAAAAAAAAAAAATCTTTAAAAGTTATTTACCAATAGAGAAGGAAATGTATTGATTTTGTAAACAGCAGATTTTCATGATTTTTCCAATGGCGTCTTCTAATGTAGAATTTTGAAATCATAACTTTATCGAACAGAAACAACAAATGCAAATCGGTTTGAGGTCATCATCTCGATTTCTGGAAAAGAACATCGGTAATTTATTACTGAAGATGACTAGAGAATGCTTGAAAGAACCTGTAATAAAAACTATGAAAATTTTCAGCATAGTCTTGAACCAACTATTTATTTTCATTTATGAAATCACAGAACATCATAAACATTTAACAAAATATTCTTTGTCGTATTGAATAATACAATTTTAAACGAAAAATTGCTTCATATATATTGATTAAAATTTACTATATTTAGTTGGAGAAGATTGCCTAATATCATAAAAGGTTAACAGGTATTGATAATATGACTAAAAACTCAACAGAGTAAATTTAGTTCGTTTTACATCTCAGGCGATCATCAGGCCTTGTGTAACTTCACTTTTCACGAGTTCTGTATATAAACAACGGGGCTTATGAGGAAGAGGAGAAGGAAGAAACCGGACCTTCTCAGTTCTAGTTCTTAAGGCTAATATTTTAAGCTGTTTATTTAATTTAATTATTTAATTTAATTGATTTTGTATATATTTCGGTTTTAATTTTTGGTTTTTAAAATAATATCTATAAAAGATGGACGTTAAGGAACGTTATTAATTTTGATGCGGTTTTAGATTTTGTGGTAGGAATTTTCTTCCTAAGTTCTTTTGGAAGTAAATTCTTGTTTACAAGTTTATATTTTCCTGAAAAATCGCTTATTGCCAATTTCTCGGCTAGTTTTAAGGTATTTGATTTTCCATGTCATTTGTGGTAGTTTTTTGTGTTTATCAGGTTGTATGGTTTGCATATATTTGCTCGTTAAATGATATTTTATAGGAATAGATTCTCTATTTGTACATGTTACAAATGTTACAAAAATCGATTTGACGATTTTAATCAGCTGAGTGAAGCGGACCTCACAAGAAACATGTCAAACGGCCCTGACAAAGAATGTCAACTGGGTTGAACGATGCGATGAATTATCTTTCAGACGGAATCTGAGAGGGAAAAGAATGTTATAAGACTGTGGTCCCTAGCAGGCTACAGAACAGAGTAGCGCACGCTCCGACGTGAAAAGGAGGTCGTATTAGACAGTTCGCTTTCCATATCTCACCTCATACTGCAGTGCTCGCTTACAGAAGGTTAGAAAAGAATAAAATTTGTCGACTGCTACAATTTCGTCCTATCGTTTTATTTCCCTGTATTACGCCACAAGCGTTCGACTGGAAAAAGCTGCACACTGGGAACGAACCTGGTGTTTGGTGTGAGCTGCACCGCTCCACTTACAAACCAACGTAATATATTAAGCTAATGCTAAAGACAATTGATGGTCAGAATATAACAGTAGATCTTACAGGTGATGGGTAATGCGTTTCAACATTGGCTACAGAGATGTGTTTGACATGGTAATTTGAAGAGAGCTGAATGTAGGTTCTTGTTTCTCGCCGATGGAAACGCATTACCAATGGTAACCATTGATAAGGACAAATTGGCGACGTTATGTCTTTGAATTATGTTCTGTATAAAGAGAACAGATATAAAACATCAGTCTTTGTTAAACTCGGTTATTTCTAGGCGTGGTCGAATAGCACAAGAGGTTGGGTCCTAAAGCAAGTGAGAAAACGGGTGAATCCAATAATTAGAACTCATTGAAACGACATCTATAAGGAAAATGAAATGAGCAGCAAATAGATTTTCAAACGTTCTTTTCACCTAAGAATACCTTTTTACTCTCAATGGATCAGACAAGTGGAATAAAAACTGCCTACCTGAAGAAAGCGTTTTCATAGATTGAGACGTCTACTTTCAGAAAGCCTCCTCATAGGTTCAGACGTCAACAAGGTATGATGATTTGGGATGAACCTATTTCGAATTATAGACGGTGGTAGATAACAGCTTATACACACACACACACACACACACACACACACACACACACACACACACACACACATATATATATATATATTGATTTTTGAAGTCACACATGGAGGCATAGTTCACGAAACCAAACGATGCTTTTATGCTGGAAAATGATCCATAATATTTGGCGAATAGAATCGGTTTCAAAGTCATTCGCGCGATGAAATGACCGACGTGTTCGTCTGATATTAACCCAATTAAAACATTCTGGAACCTTCTGAAGAGAAAGTTTTACAGTGGCA